AAAACTTGTTGCATCATTCCCAAAAAGACTCATGGCTGTATTAGCTCAAAAGGGTGCTTCTACTAAATACTGAGCAAAGGGTCTGAATACTTATGACCATGTGATATTTCAGTTTTTCTTTTTTAATAAATCTGCAAAAATGTCAAATTCTGTGTTTTTCTGTCAATATGGGGTGCTGTGTGTACATTAATGAGGAAACAAATGAACTTAAATGATTTTAGCATATGGCTGCAATATAACAAAGAGTGAAAAATTTAAGGGGGTCTGAATACTTTCCGTACCCACTGTAGTTCAGCAGTTTAACCACCAGGCTGTTTTTCCCCTTATTTCATTTCCAAATAGTACTGTCTTTGTGCCGAGGCTACAGTAAAGTGGTAGCTGAATAGAGGGGGTCACCTTCGATGCTGCTCACATCTGAGCTCCAAATATCAGTTGTGAAGCTCATGGCTTTAACATCTTCTAACTGAGCCACGAACAGTGACGACACTCAGTTGTATAGTTCGAGTACAGCAGTCTCTAAAATGCATTTCCTGGGTAGTAGATTATACCTGGGCTCTACATGCTCCAACAGGCCGTGAAATCCACAAATAGTGCTTGGCCATTAAGTTTGATGAAGCTGAGCAGCGTCTCTGTAATCCCCTTAGCTTTTGGGTTATCTGCTGAAAGTTTATGCATTTTCAGTTCTTGATTAAATTGGTTGTACTGCACTACCCAATCGTACTTCCATCCCTCGGCATGCTGGCTTTACACACTTTACAAGTAGCTGTCTTGCTTTTTGGCATTTCCACTCTAAAATAACTCCAAGCAAACAGCATTTTAGTCAAGCCAACAGCTCATTATTTGCTCACTCGGTTACAGACTGAAGTTCCTGCAGATTTATTTTAAGATGTGGAATGTAATCTGAATTGGTGGCGTGTCTTGTGTTGTGTTAGTTTAGTTTAGTTTACAGCAGGTTCATGGTCCAGCTCAAGCTGCAGACTGGATTATGGATCAGCCCTGTCCGTCCGATATCTGAGTGAATGATGTTAATATCCCACCCGGTACCATCTCTAGTTAAAAGCAGCCAAAGGATTCTGATTGGATTAAGATGTGGCTTTCTTCCTTGTGGATGTTTAGCGACCTACCATGGTCATGATTTTACCTTTTGTATTGAAGTAATATAATTTTAGTTTGGGAGTAACTTGAATTTTGTGTGTCACATTAGCAGTAACTAGAGTTCTACTGCAGTATTTCCTGCACATAGACTTTACTTGGGTGAGCCGCCCAGGTATATTTGGCCCCCCATTTTTATTATAACAGGGCTCCAAATTTATTTAAGGTGCAACAGACTTATTTTCAAAGGTCGCACTGGGTGCGACTGCAAAATAAACAGCTTATGCACAAACGATGCTCTCACTGTAAAAATAATGGGCAGACAAAACAATCTCCCTAAAACTGTCATTGTAACATTTATCTCCAGGTCATCACTCGCCCATCTCACAAAACAGAGATTTCCAGTATATGTGTTGATCCACACCGACCACAGACTAGCATCATCCCATGACCCCTTTTTTACGCTTCAAGTTTATTTTTTTCCTTTGGTCCATTTGAAGTGTAATCACCACAGGCAAATTAGGTTGATCACCTGTTGGCCTGTTTGCTTGCTGGAAATGTTTTACTTGAACTCATTATTTTATATTTGAAATATCACAGCCCTAATTATCATCATCATCATAGTCGCCATCATGTTGACTGTTAGGCTACAGAGCACTACAGTGACTACATAAAAGGAGGTGGAAACTTGCTCAACAAGTGATTTTTTCCCATTTATTGTCTCTCTCTCTCTGAATTTCATTATTAGACTGTAGGGACCGTGGTCTTTTCTTTGAAGGCTTCAGTTTGTTTTCTGAAAACGGCAGAATGATGCGCTTGACATGAGAATACCAAAGAATTTGTGACTGCAACAATTTTCTAGGAGAAGTGGTGCATTATCTGTCGGAAATGCAGGGGTGCCAGTATTTTATGGCCATGACTGTTTGAGGACAAATTGCTCAAAGTGCTGCAGAGTTTTACATTTGATTTTTTTTTCTTCATAGATTCAGAGTTTTTTTGTTGCCTGTGTATATGAAGGCACATGGGAGAAAGGAACTTTAAATTCATTGCTTTGACCTGTGACCTTTGACCTCCTTATAATTGTCAGTTTGCTTTGTTGGTGACCTGGAAATGAGGCCTTTTCTGTTGTGCTCTGAATACGAGCCTGAGCTGAAAGAAACACTGTAGAGCAAAATAACAGTTTTTAAAAAGTGTTTTATCACAGAAGTCTGATGTGTGGGGGATAATGAAGTTTCTATTGAGCAGGGCGTCAGAGTGGTTGGCGTCTGTCTCCCATGGGAACCTCAGTCCTATAGCAGGACTTAACACTCCTTGTGCTTATTTACCATGTGTACATTTTTCACCTGGTGTCCTTGTTGCTGACTGAAACACAGCATGGAAGAAGCAAAACTAATAACATCTTATTTGTCTGAAGGGAAGTTTGAGAGATTTCGGTAGTTCCCATTGTTGTTGACCAACTGTAGATGTTACTCAAATGCATTTCACACTGTATGTTCCAGGGCTGGGCGATGTAGACTAAAAACTATATCACAATATTGAACTGTGTTTTTGTGCTAACGATATGAAAACAACCATTCAACAATATGTTTTTGTCCCCATTGGCCTTTGGTCCTGACAGCTGTGCAAACAAACATTGATCCAACAGGTACAACTTTATCAAACATTAAACTGTACTAGTGAAGTAGACAAAAAAATAAACATTTCTTTTATTCACAAGTTGCTCCTTGTCAGCAGTTTGGCATCATGTCTGTGGACCTGCCTCCGTCACTGTGTTCCAGCGTTTACTTTATGGTCAGTGTGTCTGCAGGTGATAATGTTCTGAACTAAAGAGTTTGTTTACTTGTTGTTGGTCTAACACGTGCCCGTGTTCTTCCTACACAGCTTCTGGCCAGTGGTGGAACACATTCTCTGTGTTTCCACCCTTTGTACTTGCCTCTGACATAGCATGCATGAATGTTTGAGTCACAGTGGATCTCTTCACCATGATACACTGAGGCTGCAGCAGTGACTGTTGCTGACTCACTGTACATGAATAACACAGTTTTAAAAAAGCAAAGGTGTGGCTGAACACAGAAAGTAAAATGCTTCTGCACCTGTTGTACAGGTGGCAGACAGGAGGATACGTGTTAGTGTATCCACTCAGTATTCTGGTCAGTGTGAGACTGGAACTGCTGGTTGTAGTTGTGGACTGCCATATGAAAGGCTGTTTCTGACACAGTTTGTCTTCACAATGTGTTTCATGTATTCTTCTACAAGTCATCAGTTAATTAAAACTCTACACAGTTCTGTAAAAGGCTCTTCATCTTTTTACTGTTACACATTGTTGGTAACTTGTTTGTTCATAATATAGCACATTTTCATACACAAAGGCAATTCAAAGTGATTAGCAAAGTCCACACAAAAAGATGCATTAAAATACAAATTAAAAGTAACATTACATGATGGCACAAAGTAGCAGCATGCACGTGTGCCAGGCTGGGGATTAGTGTTGGGCTTATGCCCAGAAAACCGTGGTCTGAACCAGAATGTGGACTTTCTGAACATTACGTGCCTAGTTATTACACACCTTATCAACACAGAGAGAAGACAAGTTATCATGGAGAGGAATTATACTGGTACATGTCACAGCCCTAGTTTACTGCTGTGTCTGTCTGTTCTGATTTGATCCAGTTTTCAATTTCTGGAGCTTCAGTGTTGTCAGTGCTGTATGAAATACATGTGGCTGTGCTAGCTCTGAGCCAAAGGAAGTTCTGTCTCTGCTGGCGTCAGCTGCTTGGACTCATGATCTGAGATGTCAATCAGTCATGGTGCTTTTCAGCAGAACAGAAGCCCCCCCGCCCTCACCCCCTGCAGCCCAGTGTCATTTGACCTTCTTCTGCTAATATTGTCCTCCGCACTACATTTGGCTGCCAGTTGTTGTGTGAGTCACATTCAGAATATTCAGCTCAACACAGGCTGAAGAACACGGGCTATGTTGCTGGGTGGGCAGGACAACGAATGAATGAATGAATACTTTGTCATTATACGCAAGTACAACAAAATTAGATGTGCCACATCTGATCAGTGCAAATATAAAAACATAAGTTGTCCATTCTCATGACCACATCCGTCTACCATACATCGATAAATAGTTCATAATAGATGTATTAAAATACTGAGTGTAGCAAGCAGCTCCTTCCCCAGAGCCCATGTGATACACATGCTGACCAGGGGTCATCAGGCCTCAGAGTTGCTGCGAGTCTCCGTTTGACATGTCACTGTCTGCACGTCCATCACGCATCTCTGAATCAGCTGCACTGATATTTCAAGATGCGGTTCTGTTAGTGTTTCCCATTTTGGCTAATAAAATGTTCTCAACTCGCTTCACTTCCATCCACCACTGACCATGTCTGTTGCTTGTTTTGCTGGTCAGTTTGGTTTAAAGTAGTGGTAATGAAATTTTATCATCTTAAATAGGAAGACAAGGAAGGAACCTGGACCCACATTCTTGTGAACAGAAAGATGTATGGAGGATAAAACTGCTAAAGTCAGCATATGAGCTCGCTCAGTCTGGACCCAAGCGGCCTGTGCAGTCTGATATTTTTACCTGACCCATCTCTACACCACTGCACCTAGTTACATTTCCTGTTCTCATCGCAGCAGATGGAGCCTCCCTGCCAGTCCTGCAGAGCTTGCCAGGTGTGTCCTCATTGGTTAGCCCAAAATGTTGAACTTGTTTTTGGCTGTGCACTCAGAGAATGAACACATGCTGCACTGTGTGTGAGAGCAGCAGTGCAGCAGTGTGTGACAGATGACAGCAGGCTGTGGTACAGGACATGGCAAGAATAGCAGACGAAACTGCTGTGCTTGGTCATACTGGAAACACTGGTGGCTCTGGTGACCACCATGTCTGCTAATGTCTAATGTTGAGCTTTCATCTGCGGCAGAAGACATGTTCGAGATGTGGATGTTCTTGTGTGACTGCAATGTGATGCAGAGGTGTGGCGCCTTTAACAGTAGCTGATATCCTGTAAACAAAAAAACACACACAGTCTCTGTTGTAACATCATGTGTTGTGCTCATCTTGCCTCTCACACTTGCTTAATCTTATCTCAGTCATGCACTGGGATCAGGGTTTAGGAGTTTTGGGGTTAGAAGACACAGGAGTAACCCAGGGTCTGGACCTAAAGCTGACTACAGTTTTCCATGGGCATCTTAAATGATATTACTTTAAGTGATCTGAAATTATCTGGAATTATCTCATTATCAGACTATGGGAATCCTGCTGATGCTTCATTCTAGCCATCTGAGATTACCTTGTAAGATCAGGTACAGCTCTGGTTTGGAGTGGGTGTAGTCAGTCATCTGATAAGGGCGGGTTTAGTGAGCATTTGAAGTTAAAGGTATAAAACAAGTCATAATTCTTGTATCTTAGTGAAGGGTTAAGTAGTAGCATGAAAGGCTCTAGCTAAACTAGATTAAGAGTGCAGTGAAGCTACAGACTGACATCTAACCCAGGCTTGTTTTTTCCTCTCAGGACTCTGAATCTCTGGACCGGTGCATTCAGAAAGCACTATCTGCCCTCTACCCGCCCTTCCAGGCCACATCCGGGACCGTCCTTTGTCAGGTCCTCCACGTGGTGGAGAGCTGCTTCCGAGGAGACGGACTCCGCTACCTGCTCCACTTCTTGCTGCCTGCAAAGCAGTTCTTACAGAATCTCCAGCAGGATGCCTGTGTGAGTACAAGGCTACCAGTCTGACTGTAGAGAATAGAGGGTGGATACCTGACCTGAGCCCCATGGGACCTGTTGGTACCCGATGGTTTGGGCCAGGTTTGACTTATAAAATGGACTTCATGAATCCATGCTTCTTCTTTAGTCTAATGTAAAGTGCACACTAGAGTCTCAAACTAGAGTACACCACCATCACTGTTTGTGCGGAGGAGCAGGGTGAAGCTACTGTACAGCAGATGCTGAACTGACAGAACACTGTCCTCCTACGCTCTGTGTGTGTCAGGTCTGTGTCAGTGACGGCACAACGCACAAGAGCAAACAAGACACACTGCTCAAGACGATCACAGTGCCTGAGACTCTCCCTGATGAGTCAAACAGACCACCTTCCCTGTTCATGTCTGTTCTTGTCCGTTGAACGCCACGTGTGATTGGCTGATTGTGAGGTTAGGTGACGCTGTGGGATTGTCACTCACCTGGCTGCTGCTGGGCGTCGCCCGCAGACATCAGTCAGACAAAGGCCTCGCTGTTC